TAATTGAAAAGTTTTCAATATTAAAATAACCCACTAACCTACTACAATGTAAGATGAGTCAGAAATCTGTGGTTTAGACATAATGTAGACAATTGACTTATGTAGAAAATGATACACTTCTGGTACTACCAATGGACAGCTCTGCGTAACGAATTTTTTATTATTACGACTCTATGACTGTACCTAAGTTAGTTTATACCTTAAGTTTCCTTTTATTATAATTATGTATGTTTTGTGCAGGGAGCTTTTTAATGTAAATCAGAAAAAGATGAAGCGGGCGAATCCAAGAACAAATATTATTGATCAAATCAGCGTGGTTGTATTCTTCCATAAAGACTCTGCAGCGAAATCATGATCCCAAAGAGTGCAGGTTTACTGAATTCAGGATGGTTAAATACACTACCCTATCTGTGCACTACCAGATGTGTCCCACCCTTTCAACAGACACCCTTCCTCCCACCAGATCTTATCTGTGGATTTCTGTTCAGGGACATGATGACACGCAATAAATCACTGCCGGCTGTCTGTCAATTAACGACATTTCCTGGAACCCGACAACCTTCACATCTCTCTCTGACGTCAATCTCACACATCACTCAAGTATGCGCTCAAAAGTCTGAGTTCGGATTCATGATTTTGGCCTGAAGAAAATTGACATCCCAACCAAAAAAAAGTGCCATGTAAAACATAAATAGATATCTCTTTCTGATGTCGATCTCACACATCACTCAAGTATGGCTCAAAAGTCTGTGTTTAGATTCATGTTTTGGACTGAAGAAAATTGATATCCCAACAAAAGAAAGTGTTGTATAAAACACATAATATCATTATACCAGTATATAAGAAACCTTCATTGAAGAAATAAGAAACTATGCTGAACTGGTGCCAAGAGTCCCATTAACACATTTGATTCTTAAAATAAGAATTGAAATTTTAATGGACGACTTCTATCCCTATTGGCACACCATTAGATGCATAAACATGGTACGTTATCTTGTAAAAGACTATCTTGAGTGTTGTGAGGTGAAATCACTCAAAATCTACCCTGGGAGTCAGTAATGACACTTGGAGGCTTCCCATGCCACTTGGAGGTGTCAAATTCATTTCGTAAATCCTTGACTGTTGACGTCCGTTAATCTAGCATGAAAGTTCATCTGTGTTGGTACAAGACTTAGTCATTATGAAATGTGGGTTGATGGAGTCAACCGAAAATTTGGGGTAAGTCCCAATACTTTAGTTAGTCCAATGATTGATCTAATTAGCATTTATGAAGTATAAATACTAAAAATAGAGGATATTTTTCACCATGCACTTAATTTTATACACTCCTTAAGCCCTTTTATTACTAAGATTAAGCCCTAATTTATAACCAAGACAAATCCCTCTTTGAAATCATCTAATAATCCATTAATGCAACAATCCTTCCTGCTATAAAATTGCAACATGATGTAACCCAACACTACCATGGCGAGAGACGTCTGGTCATTGACCTTTTTGGTTTGGAGAGGAAGAAGAAGAGGAAACAGTCTGAGGTAAATAATGAACAGTGTATTAGCCTTCTTAGCAGGCTGGTAAGAGAACCCTGGTACCAACTGAAGTGAAATGCCAGAAAGAATAAAAAAGCACATTAAATTTAATAACTAAATGTTTTAAGGAGGCTAACAATGTAACACTGTCACCACCAAATCTGGTAAAAGCCGGCATATCTCCTGCATCCTGTTGGTATCAGAGAAAAACATAAGCACAAAGCTTGACACTGCATCAAGATAAGGGGAGAAATCAATATCAGCGGGATGACTGGCTGCCTCTCAAGCTACATGTACGGGATCAATACAGCAGCCGCAATGACAATCAATAACCTGGCCGGGACTCGAAATACTTTTCTCTGCATAGTCTTACCTGCACTGGTGCAAGTAACACTGAAAACAAGAGTTCCTCGATTTCGTACCTTCACCAGGTGATGTTCACATTTACATTTGACCAACAAAAAGTAAAAAGTTTTTTTTGTTGTTGATTATTCATTAGACAAGTAAGATTCTTAATTGCATGAATTATCAGGCACTTCTGTTGATCATAATTATCCACCCAAAGGCAGTCCTATGTAAAAAAAGAAAGGTACTGTAACTACTAGCATTTCCTCACGAATTATGAAATGAGGTCCTGATTTAATTGATTATGAATCTATAAAAAATACCATTTAAGAATATCATTTATTATTAATTGAATAAGTTATGTTTAATGATGCTCACCTTCACTTAACTTTCAAAATGCGTTTAGTATGAAATTCCTGGCAGTTTCCATGATGAAGTTCTGACAAATTTTACCTGCACCACTCAGGGTCAGAATTTAAGAAGTATGGATCATACTAAACCTGTTCGGAAACCTAATTGCCATTATTACAGGTTTGATACATGTAGGTGGTAAAAGCCAATGCAGCAAATCAAAATCCACATAGTTATACACAGCCTTCTCAAAACAAGCCGGCTACCGGCGAAAATCGCCGCCTACTCAAATTTTTGCGCCGGCTACTTTCGTCAAAATTTTCAAATTTTTGCGCCGGCTACTTTCGTCTAAATTTTCAGAAAAACAAGTAAGCTCCGTTACATTTTCTCACAAACTTCACCGGCTCATTTCTTCTGACGAACTTCAGACAAATTTCTGCTAGCTTTCTGGATCTGAAAACTGCTTCTTTCTTAGCCTCCTGTGCAGATTTCTAGTGCACGAGTCAGCGTTTGCTTCTACGAGCGGCCCGCGGCCGGCCAGAGCGGCCGAAACTTTACGGGGGGAGGGTCTTGTTCGGGGCTCGAGTTGTATCCGCGGAGCTGTATCGCTCGAGCTAGGCGGAACTTGCCTCGTTGCTCACGAAAATTTATCAAGCCGCTACCTTCCCAACTTCTCCCGGCACTAGTAACATTCCTGCTACAAATAACTAGTACAAATCACGTCAAAAAATATCAAGACATGTATAGAAGCGTGTTCATATCTTTCATACACAGAGACAAATTTTCAAAAACAAATCGCCATCAGCGAGATTTCACAGCTGTTTCATTCATCAAAAGTCTTGTCGATCGTAAAATGATCACTCATCTGTTGTCTCCACTAGTGTGTCATTTGTAGCGTAATCACGGCTAGCCAAAAATCAGCGTCAAATCCCCGGAATAAAAACACGAACACTCCGCATCGCTGTACAAAAACAGGAGCTTTCAGGCGCCATCTTGTCATGAATATTAAGTAGCAGCGTGCGATCGACGCTCTGATTGGTTCACCTCACATGACCTGC